TTTAAAGAGTTTGTAACACTCTTACTGGCCTCCAGGTGCCCTTAAAATCAAACAGAAATTTCTGTTTTCTGTTCTTAATTCTGAATCCTATTTTTAGAATCCCTGCTGATTTGGCCTCTCACCTCACCTTGTGCCACTCTGCCCTTCATTCATCCTGTTCTGGTCATGTGCTCCCTTCAACAGAAGGGAGACACAAACCCAGCATGTGATTCTTCTGTCCCTTGCACCGGCGTGTGATTCTTCTGCCCAGGCAATGCTTGCCCCTTTGCTTTGAAGTCTGGCTTCTTTTCACCCTTCAGGTCTTAGCTTCCCCATCTGGACCACCATCATTTTGATCCCATACTACTGAGACTGGCCACTTAATGGGTCTTCCCATCCACCCAAGAGGCCGTTCCTACAACTCCATCAAAGTCAGCCTCCTGTTACACTCCATGACAGCACTCTCTTTGTTTCCTGGTCAGATTTCTAGCGATCTGTGCGTCTGTTTGCTTATTGTATGTCGTCTTGACCTCATCATGAGCTCACTGGAGGCCGAAGACCATGTCTGTTTCAGCCATCACTATATATCCTCAGCAAGTTACCAAGAGCCTAGCATTTACAAGGTGTAGAACACATTCTTGTTGAATAAATAAATAACATCAGCTCTACTTTACAGGTGGAAGAACTACATCAGAAAGAGCTAATGACTTAACCAAGTTGAAATATTAACTACAGAGCAGAGATTTGAATGCAGGTCTCTTGCTCCAAAGTCCACTCTACCCACCACACAGCCCTCCCTCTCTCAGCTGAGGTTGGAAGATCACATATTGTATTCCTTCATTCAGTCAACATCCAAATAATGCTTTCAGTGCTTACAGCGTGCCAGGTGCTGTGTTAGATGCTGGATAATTGACCAAAGTACGGTTTGCAGAAAAATAGCTTACCTTTTAGTTTCTCAGACTCAACAACATGGGTATTTGGGGGTGGGATCATTATTTGTTGTCAGGGGCTGCCTTGTGTGTTTGTAGGATGTCCAGCAGCATCTCTGGCCTTGACCCACCGGAGGCCAAGGGCACCTGCCAAGTTATGTCAATCAAACATGACTCCAGACATTGCCAGATGTCCACTGTGGGGAGGGGCAGTGCGCATAATTGTCCCTCATTGAGAACCACTGCTTTGATGCGAGAGAGTCCCTAGTAAGTCAAAGATTTCACTATGGTGGCCAAGTGCCCTGGTTGTGAAATGCCTACAGAAAACACAGTGAATGGATAGGTAATTGGACGGCGAGGGGAAGTAAGCCCTGGGGCTGCTGCTTGGACCAAGTTTCAGATGAAAAGTCAGAGTGATTTGGATAAAAGAAGGGAATGAAGGCTTTCCTGGGTACAGGTCATGACATACACAAAGGTGCAGAAGTGTGAGTGTCAGGGAACTGAGTAGAGTTGAGCATAGCTGGAGTGACCCAAGACAGGAGCCCAGGGCAAGGGCTGTTTCTGCCAGGGCAAATTTTACTTCTTGATTTTATTTTTCTCCAGTCTATTTCCAGTCTTACAATTCATGTTTGAAACTTGTTTGTCTGTACTTGATAAATCAGGGGCCCTGGCTATCCAAGAAAATCTGATGTCAGCTCCAAGGAAGGCTTTGCTTGCAAGACCTGTAGAACCCTCCAAGCACAAGGCCTCACTGATGTGCTAGAAATCCATACAGAGAAGGGCAGAGATGGGTTTGAGTTTCGGGGGTGAACTTTGGCATCTGATTATCCTCTGGGGTCTTGGATATCTAGCAACGCAATTAAGAAGTAAGTTGATCACCCACTTTGCCGGAGGAAGAATTCCATAAGCCTCTTAGGTGCGATGGCTGGGAGTAATTCAGATCTGAGGTTTCTGACTTGTGCCTGACTCCTCTGGGTTCCTAACACGCTTGGAATCTCTCTCTCATAAACCGTTACCTGCTACCATGGCGTGTCACGTAAACATAGCCGAAGCAATTCAGACTCTTAGAGGTTGCAATGAAGCATTGAAAGGCCAAACAGGCAAATCCTAAATCCCAGCACAGATAGAACCAAGAGGGCCCTGTCCTTAACTTCCTAGCTCTCTGCAGGTTATGCTGAGATTTCCAGCCAGGACAGAGCAGCTGCCATTACTTTTGTCTTGCTTAGTTGATCATGGAATTAAGCTCCGCATATACTTACCTCCTGCCGAGATCAAGTTCAGTGACAATGGGGAGTGTGTGAGACTGGCATTAGGAAGCACTGTAAAATAATATATAAATCCCCAGAACTTATCTCAGTTCATTAAAAAAAAAAAACACTTATTTTGTGGCTCAGGAAATTTTATCCATCCTTTACACACATGCCATTAGCCCTCTTCCTGCTTCCGCGGAAGATAATGGTGACAGCCAGTATGTCCTGAAGGCTTCTCCAATCCTCCTTCCAGAAGTGGGCTGAGTGTTTTCCACACACTCCGTCATTTAACCCTCACAGAGCCGCATGCAGCAAGGGCTGTCCTCACCGTGCGTGTGAGGAGCTGGGGCCAGAGAGAGTAACTTCTGTGTCCCAGCTCACGTGTTCCTCAGGACCTTACCCTCCGTGACTGGGATTGCCCCAAAGGTCATGATGTTCACTGCCACCGTGAACTTGGGGATGTGCTGAGGAAGGGCGGGTCGTGGGCTCAAAGATAACCAGGCCGAGTCTTTGCTTTGCTGCTACTGCATATTCCGGGGGCGGGGCAGGGACTGGAGTGGGGGACAGACGTGGAAATATGGTCTGCACCGGTGTGTATGAGTGTGACAGAGAAAACTGCAGCATGTCGTTGGAGCACATGGGGAGTCCCTGATTTCCAGGGATGGGGGTGGCGCTCGGGCCGTTTTAAAGGTAGATAGCAATGAGGTGGGCTGAGAAGGTAGGGCGCATGGCAGCTGGAGGAACTGGGCATGCCACGGCACGCAGGTGGGGACTCGGGGCAGGCAGAGGCTTGGTGCAGATGCAAGGCCGGATCCTCTTGGTGATCTAGCAAGACACAGTAGGCAGGGGCCAAGAAGAAGCAGACCTGAGGAGAGACTGTCTTAAAGTCCCCCTTTTCCTGAGCTCATGGGTAGGAAAGCCTTCCCTCCATCAGTCGACTTTCTGCCTTGTCCAGGACTTCTAGCCCATGGACCTTGTTATAGTTCTCTGTCCTAACAGTCATTCATCTAGAACTGGTCAGGAAAGCCACTCTGAAAATTTTGTCTTTGGCGCAGGGAGGATAGAGCCATCTGAGTTCTAGAGTTTCCCAGAATGTACTCTGGTCGGGTTATTAGTGTAACGATGCCAGGTGAGAGAGAACAGTCCATAGGGAGCCAGGAGTAATGGCTGCCCATCGTATGTTCATTCATTTTTTATTAACCAAATATGTCCTAGTGCCTTCTCTGTGCCAGGCTGAAGGCAGGAAACATTGCAGATGTTATCACATGTAATGCTCCCCAGACCTCTACGAAGCAGGTGCTCTCAGGCCCACTTACTGTTCAGGACCTGGTGCTCAGAGGACCAGGGGCACCTGCTCTGCAGGAGGAGTGTTCCACCCTCCTCCATGGCTCCAACACCCGTGACCTCCCCACTGCACCTCGCCAGAGACACCCAGCAGCTTCTGGCAGGAAACACATGGCTGCAGTCACTCGACACAGTCCTTAGAAAGACTAAATCAGCTCGGGCCAAGGCAGAGCTGTGTCAACAGCCCATATTTATTCCACAAGCACATGGTGCGCCTACTGTGTGCCGAGCCCTGTGTGGGGGGTAATGAGAGGAAGCCCCTGAGTCAAGTCTCTCGATGTGTGAAAACTCACCGTGTGGCTCTTCTCTGGCATGTACCCCACAGAGAGGGCCTTGTTCCTCCCGCCCACTAGGGAGAGGGTGCAGGTTGAGAAACAGAGGGAAGAGGTTAATATTTATAGAGCATCTACTGTGTGCCAGGCTCTACACCAAATCCTTGGCAAACATCATCTCCTTGCAACCAGGTGAAGCAGAGAGTGGGCACCCCTATTTTAAAGATGAGGTACCTGAGGCTCAGAAAGTGCACAGATTTGCCCAAGGTCACCTGCATGGCCAGGGGTGGGGCTGGACACAAGTTTTTTGTGCCAAGGCTACTTTATGTTGGACTTACTAATTTTTTTTTTTATTTTGCGCCAAGAACACTTTTGGCCCTGTGATGAAGTCCAGAAACCTTTTGTCAGAATCACAATCTTGAATTCAGATGTAAAATGCATACGGTTGCAAAAGAAACTGATTGTATTGATAACTCTCAAAATATTGAAACATTTGAGATGCAGTCGTATATGGGCTTCTCCGTGATGGATTTAAGGACAAGACCCGTGGCCGGTCGGAATACTACCATCATTTGGAAACAGCTATGAGCACAGCAATCCCTGGAGATAACAGAATCTAAAATGCCCTGGGATTTCTGTTGTGGAAGGCACAGGATAAGACCAGGGCATTGAGGGTATTAGTAGGGTTTATTATCTACATTCATCATTGAAAGATATGCTCATTTCCATTAGAGGTTAGTAAATTAAAGATGCAATGTTTTTCCCATCCAAGCTCAGGGACCACCTCCCCCTCCAAGTTCTAACCATCCGGGTTAGGGTGCCTGCTTTCTGTAATTTATGTCATTCGAGTCTGCCCAGAGCTGCTCCCTGGGTACCATGAAGTGGTACAAAGGAAGTTATTGAGGAGACAGGACAGGGGAAGGCATGAAGATCAGCCACTTGCCACTGGGAGCTAGGCATTTGCTGTCCTTTCTGCCGTTTGAGCTCCATGTCAACATTTGAGAAAAGGGAAGTGCAGAGAAGTTAAGAAACGTGCCCACGGTGTCATGGCTAGTAAGCTGCCGAGCCCTGCCCCAGTCCAAGCTGCTAAATCAATTTTAGCGCCGAGGGCTCGCCTCCCCCCGTCACATGCGGAGGTCAATGTGTGAGTCTTTATGGAGAGGGACGGGTAATTACAAAAGCCTGCACTCAAGGAGGAAAATTGTTCACTTTTGCTTATTTTGTAGCCAAAAGCTGGGTCTCTTGGATCGGGTTCGCCTTTCTAATCCTCGTGGTAGCAATACTAAAGGAAAGCTATTTACCCCTCTGAATGTAGATGCCATAGAAGAAAGTCCTTCTAAAGAACCAAAGCCTGTGGGCTTAAACAATAAAGAACGTTTCCGCACCGCCTTCCGCATGAAAGCCTACGCTTTCTGGCAGAGCTCCGAAGGTGAGGCCTTTCTCGTCCCTCGCTCTGTTCGCTCTGTCCCCTCCACTCCTCCCTCTGCCTCGCCCTTCCCTTCCTCCCCTCCCTTCTTCCCCGATGGAGGACCTGCCCCATCTGTAGAGCAGCCCATCCCCACCTTCCTGAACCAGGTTCGTGCTTCATCTCATGCATGCCAGCTGGGCTGGGGACACCTGTGACACGTCCCCACAGCTCGGGGAGCGGGGGGGCTCCCATGTTAGCTGTTCTCCGGGCCGGGATCGCCACACACATCTGCGCAGGTGCCTCCAGGGAGCCTTGGGACTCACAGCCTTGGCTCCTAAGGGTGGCCACATGGAGGTGCACTGCCATGGAGGTCAACAGAAAGGGCCAGGTGCTGGAGACCCAGGGGCCTCAGCACCCCCAGGGGGCGGGAAGAGGTAATAGAAAAGAGCCCTGTGGGGGCAGTGGGAGCAATTCCTCTGTGTGTCTCTTTTACTTGTGACAAGGGAGGACAGGCAGGGCTCAGAAAGTGACCCCACAAGGTCACCAGGGTACTGACTGACAACAAGAATCTGGACTCGGGTGTCCAACGGTAACACCCACGTGGATGCCCTTTGCTGCCTCGGAGAGACCGCTCAGGAACCCCAAAGCTCATGTCCCCACCTTGCTGGCCTTCTCCCCAGTCAACAGTCCTGAACTGCGGGCAACTCTAACTCATGTCTGGAGAATAGAAGGACCTGCTAAGAAGGCCTGAACGGCGTCACAACTGGAGAACACCCCATGGTTTCACGGAGTGGGAGCGAAGACTCCGGCGGTTGAGCCTTGAAGGCTCTGACTGAATGGGGTCCCCAAGCCTTTCCAAGTGCTGTGGCCTGCTGTTTGATATGTGTGTCTCCCTCCCAGATGCTGGGACAGGTGATCCCATGGCGGAAGACAGGGCCTACGGGAATGACTTCCTCATCGAAGAGATGATCCCCACCCTGAAGGCCGCCATCCGAGCCGTCAGGTGAGGCCCCCCTCCTCCCCACTGAGAGCCCACCCAGACCCCAGTTCAGCCCCCACAGGATACTGGCTTTGGAAAGGTGGGCGGGTAGCCCCATCAGGTAACTCCCTGAGTCAGGTCCCAGAGTATGCCATTGCTCGAACGGGCATGCTGCCTGAAGAAAAATGATTTCTACCTTAGCAAGGCATCATGGGTAACTCTTGCTCGCTGGTTTATAATAATGCTCCCACGGGATCCTGACACTGTTTCCAATTGTCATGCTCTCGTTTGGCTTTGGCCACCATTTATTTTACAGGTCTGGGGTGGGGGGTATATTGACGCCGTGTCTTCTTCCTTTATAGGCTTCTTACCCCAAATAGCTCTTCCTATCTGTCTCCATCCATCTAACTCTTTTTAATTAGCATTTTCAACAAGATAGTCAATTATAGAATTGTGTGTGTGTGTGTGTATATCGGACGAGACTATCATCTACCCTGGCTATTTTTGTTTTACCTCAGAATTCCACTAGAAAATAAAAATAGACTTACTAACAGAAAACTTGGATCAGGAGAGGGGCTTATAAGCACTGTACAATGGTGGCAGTGAATTCTAGAAACAAGCTGGATTCTCCAAGAACTAGTTGTGATATTTTTAGCAAGGTTCTTAGTCCAATCAATCCCTCAATAGGTTTATAAGATGTGAACCTCAGCAGAGCCGTTGACCTGGTTTCTCATGATACCACACATGCAATGTGACAGGACTATGGCAGGATTGAAGCATTACTTCTTAGATTCATAACTTCTTCAAAGATCTTATTCAAAGAAATAGCAAAGGAGGGGCGCCTGGGTGGCTCAGTCGGTTAGGTGTCGGACTCTTGATTTTGGCTCAGGTCCTGATCTCAAGGTTGTGGGATCGAACCCCTCATTGGGCTCCATGCTCAGCAGGGAGTCTACTTGAGGTTCTCTCTCTCCCTGTCCCTCTGCCCCTCCCCCTGTTTGTGCGCCCTCTCTCCCCCCCGCCCCCCCCAGTAATAAATAAATAAAATCTTAAAAAAAAAAAAAAAGAAAGAAAGAAAAAGAAAAGAAACCAGTGAATGAATCTGTGCCTTGGAGGGAGGTCTCTGCTGGGATGATCCATGGTCTGGCTTCTGCCCTGGTCTTTTTAGAATTTTTTATTGTTGCCTTAGTTCAGGGGTTGGCAAACTTTTTCTGTAAAGAGCCAGATAGTAAATATTTCAGGCTTTGTGGTCCACAGGTCTCTGTTCAAGTTCTTAGCTCTAACTCCGTGGCACATAGCAGCCATAGACAGTACATCCATGAATGGGGGTGGGTGTGTTCCAACATCACTTTACTTTCAAAAACAGGCAGTAGGCCAGATTTGTCCTACTGACACCTACCTCAGAGGGAGCTGCGTCAAGGGCAGGCTTATAAAATGGCACCCAGTTGGAAAGGATGGCACATGAATTGGATGGCATAATCAATAAGCCAAAATAGTGTTGAGATGCTGGACCTGGGCTGTGACAAACAAAATGAACTCTGAATGCACTAGGGAAAGAGACCCTCACAAGTAGAAGGGAAGGTCTGAGCTAGGCTGTGTTTCCCAGCACTAGCCTATGATTAGGGATTTTAACTGACACCATGCTCAATGGGGGTTGACCCCATGATGGGGTTTTTAAGGAACATTAGCCATCTGGGGTGCCTTTATTGATTCCCAGGAAGATGGAGGTGAGGCTTTGGCATCTCTGAGTTCTGGGTGCCCCCTTTATTAAGAAGCTCAGAAAACTCAGGGAACAGAAGCTCGTTTCTCTTTTCTAGCACTCACAAGCCAAATAATTAAAGAGTCTGTTGAGGAAGAACTATGTCAGCTGTCCTCAAATAGAAAACAGTGTGACACAGTGATTAAGAGCGTGGGCCTTGTCAGCATACAAACCTGGGTTTGAGGACAGCTCTGACATTATTAGCCAGGTGGCCCTGGGAAGATCTGCAGCTCTCTGGGCCACAGTCTTATAACCTACAAGTTGATCTGTTAGCAGATTGTTCCTAAAACACTTAGCTCCATGTCTGACCTGAAATGAATACCCAATAAGTATTAGCTCTTATTGTTACTATGATTTTATTATTATTCAAATGATTGAAGGGAGGGAGTCATGAAGGAGAGGTACCAACCAGCCTAACTCTGTGTGGTTCGGAGGGGTGGAACCAGGACCATGGGGTGAAACCTCCCTTCCCCGCCCCCCCCGTCAAGTCATTTTCTCTTTGGTTCTTTGCTTTGCCTGCCTCTGAGTTTGCTAGGCTTGAATTATAGCTTCCTTTACTCTCTACTCATGAAGCACACATGTCTCTACTTCGCCTTGCAGAATTCTACAATTCCGTCTCTATAAAAAAAAATTTAAGGAGACTTTGAGGCCTTACGACGTGAAGGATGTGATTGAGCAGTATTCTGCAGGACATCTCGACATGCTTTCCAGGATAAAGTACCTTCAGACCAGGTAAGACAGTTGCATCTGGAGGAACTCTGCTCTCCTGACCATGAAGGAACTGAAGCTTGAGGAATCTAGCTAGAGTTCAGGGTGAAAGCCATTCAGAAATGGTCCAGAGTGCTGGGGAGCAACTTTAAGAACAAAAACGTTCATCAAGCATTGTGGCTGTGAAGGCCAACAAGCACCAAACAGGCTGTGAAGAAGCTCTGTGACATTGACCTTAGCCAAGGTCAACACCTTGATCAGTCCTCATGGAGAAAAGGCGTATGTTTGACTAGCCCCTGACTGTGATGCTTTGAATGTTGCCAATCAGATAGAGCTGATGATCAACTGAGTCCAAATGTCCAATTCTAAATATAAATTTTTCACCGTATAAAAAAATGTTCATCAGGTATTATTTATAATCGTGAAAATATGGAAACGGTATCAATACTCACCTGGTAATTGCGACTGTTTTTGTTGAGCACCTGGGTGCTCTACATATGTATGTCTAATCCTTTATAACCTCATGAGGTATCACATTGTGGATGTCCTCTTACAGATGACAAAACCTAAGCACAAGGAGCAGTGGAGTTACCCAAAATTAATCAGTGGCAGAGCTGGAAGTCACACCAGATCCAGGTGGCTGCCCAGCTCCTGTTCTGTCTGATGCACCATATTCCGCTTCCTCAATTATATAAATAGCGATTAAGAAAAAAATGTTCCTAATCTCATTAAAAAGTTATGCAACCATCAAATGACAGTGTATATAATGAGAGGCATCTGCGTGGCTCAGTCGCTTCAGCATCTGACTCTTGATTTCGGCTCAGGTCATGATCTCAAGGTCGTGGGATCAAGCCCTGCATCAGGCTCTGCACTGAGCATGGAGCCTGCTTAAGATTCTCTCCCTCGCCCTCTGCTCCTCCCCCACTTCCTTCACACTCTCTCTCTCTCTCTCTCTAAAAAAAATGTATACAATGAGACAAAAAAACTATGTGATCATTGAATATATGTATGCACAATATGATTACTAATAATATAGTCAGACATTTATATACATAATTGCACCTGTATATATCCATATACTTAAATGTATACAAATGATTATGTTCCTATATAGTCTCTGCATCAGTCTTGTGATATTAATAATATATACATACAGTAGGATTGCAAAAACACATGCACATATGTTTATTTAGAAATATACACATGCACTCCCATATAGGGAACCTGCAGAAAAGCAGTAGGTCTTCCCCCAAGGGATTGCAGTGACTATACTGAAGTGATGAGTCCATGTGTGATTTTTTTCCACTTTCTAAATTGATCAAATCTTTAATGAATTGCAAAAATTTCCTCTTAAAACAAAAAACCATTTTAAAAAACCAAAGGGCAATATGGGGTCAAGACACAGAACTGACACTGGGAAACCAAAGCCCTACAATGGGGCTCATCCTCTGGCCTGTGTGAGATTTCAAGTGGACACAAGTCAAGTCCTATCTGGACCTTGGTTTCCTCATCTGAATCACGTTTCCCTGCCGGGGTGTCCTGCAGAGTGAACAGGACCATCAGATTGAATGAGTAGGAAGTTAACCATGATGTTGGGTTGGAGGAACACTTATTTGTGACCTTGACTTATCCATAAATGGAATATCAACTGCAACCGAGCACAGTGGCAGGCACACAGTTGGTGCTCAAAGCCAGCTTCACAAATGGGTGTGCAAACGAGTTCTGAGCCTAACCATGTTGTTACTGATGCAGATATGGCTCTCTTAGCAGTGGAGGGAGCATGATGTCTAGGACATACCCAGTCAAAATTATTGGCCCATCTTAATGCTCCCAAAGTGGACCTTCCTGCTGTCATTGCTTTCAGTGTTTATTAGGCACATGTATTTCAAAGAGTTATGGCTGGAGGTTGACCACCTGGATAGCGAATTGCGTATCCCCAGCCATGCTGTTCGGGTGGTAGGCCTGAGAGAAAGGAAGGGTGATTGAATATATGGTGGCGTTAGTGGAGGAACAACCAGGTCTGCAGAGAAACAGAGTGACCCATGGCTACTTTTGAGTGCATGGTCTTAGTGGTCCTGGGCCTTTAATGAGCCTTCAGGGTTGCCCCACACCCCGCCCAGTCCTGCAGCGCAGTGGGGGCATCTGTCTCCGGTTGTGCTCAGGGCGAAATGGATGGCGAGCTGGCGCCTCATGCAAAAATGGAAGCAAGGGGCAAGAGTGGGTGCGGAGCCATCCCCTCAATGGCCAGCAAGCCTGAAGAGCAGCAAAGATCTGCACAGCTGAAAATGAAGCCTAGGGCTGTACAAGAAAACTCCCTAATTAGATGTTTGGGGAAAGAATAAAAACGCTGGGCCACCAGATAGGCTTGCGGCACACGTGACATTTCCTAAAGAACCAACAAGATGTGACCTTCATCCTGTCTCTGGTTTAGCTGCCTCTCTGCCCTGGGGTGGGGAGATATGCTCGTTACTACTGCACAATAATAATAATAATAATAATATGTGGACATTATAAATTCTCTGTCTCCCTCCTCCTCTCCCCCCACCTTTCCCTTCTCTTACATTATCTCAGAGCCTGCCTGGCTAAAGAGAAAAGAGAAGGAATTGCTTTCCTCTCTTTACCGGTAAAGCTCTTTGTAAGGTAATCCCCTCCTTGTGTGTCTCTTTCAGAATAGACATGATTTTCGCCCCTGGACCTCCATCTACCCCAAAACATAAGAAGTCTCAGAGAGGGGCAGCATTCACCTACCCACCCCAGCAGTCACCCAGGTGGGGCGTGGGGACGTGGAACGAGGCTGCATGGTCCGACCCTATTCCCGTACCTCAGTTCGCTTCCTTTACGGTGGGGGGGCGGCAGGGTGGGAGGGTGCGGGGAGGTGGCCATTCTTCTCAATAAAATGAAGAAGAGAGCTTGAAGCTTATTCCGGTTTAGGGATATTTGCAAGGTTTCTGTACTAAAGACTTACCGCCCCTCTTCCCAGACCATGTGGGTGACATTGCTTCTGTGGTTATTGAAAATAAACATAACCCTCAACGTGTTATAAAAGAAGAGGAGCCCCGCGAGTTTATTGGAACATAGAGAATAACTCGTGTGAGCAGAGTTGAGGCCATTTGGCCTTTCCTGCATCATTTTACCTGCGCTGACCGAACGCCCTCACAGAGAAGGAAGGCAGGTGTCAGGCCTCCGACAGCGTGGTCACAGGCAGAGAACTCTGTCCCTCACCGGGGCAGTCTTGCTCTCCCCACACAGTGTTTGGAAATGTTCCCTGTACAGTCACCGATGGACCAGGAGCAGTCCTGAAGAAAGTCCACGGCCCAAATTTATACCTTCTTTACTCGCAGAGGTCTTCAGGGCAGGGAGCACGGATGAGTAAAGGGAGTCAGGCTTAAGAAAGAACTCCCACGAACCTTATAGCGATAAGGTTGCATACTATAAACGAAGCAAGGGCATAAGTGGGATGATGTAAAGGCATCTGACCTTCAGCCTCAGTACGGGGGATGGAATAAGGAGTGGTGGACCCTGGGGCTCCTGGAGGGCACGTGCACCAACTAAAGGAGATCATCGTGCCTCTGCTCTGCTGCTGCTAATTTTAGGAATCGATACCCTCTGGTTCCAGAGAGTCTAACTTTTCAAGAAAAACTGAATATCCAGTTGTCATATGAAATTCCTTAGTTTTGAAATGTTTTTAAAACTCTGTGCAAGCTAAGGAAAACACTGGTGGGCTGGAATGAGTGCACGGGCCATGTCTGCTTTAATTCAAGACCGCTCAGCCGGAGACGGGCCAGGGACGGAGCAGGAGTCAGGCGGCTCTGAAAGGGAAAACCAACTACCCCCAGCGTGCCTGGCACGATGGTTTTGAGCAATAGCCAGGCTCCCTGCAGGTTCTCTTCTACTTTGAACATAACCTGAACCACCAAGGAACCATCCCAATCCCATTCCCCACCAGCAGCCTCTTTTGCACCATTTTCCAGATCCTGCATCTATTTCCCTGCCTTAACCAAATGAAACAGATGAGATATACCCCACCGTACAGAATTTCAGAGATCAGCCAAGCCCCAGCCCAGCCCCACCCAGCCTACCCCCACACACTTAGAGTAGAAGCTCTCTCTCTCTTCTTCTGTCTAAGAAGCAGTCTAACAGGTGTGATTTAAAGGCCCCGAACCCTCTAGACAGAGTGAGGTGCTTTATTAACTTTGGCCCAAAGCCTCCTAAAAACAGCTAAGTATTTGGCTTCAACTGTCGCTGCAGAGAAGAGTAAGTAAGACCCCAGTGCTGAAGGCAGGAGAACACTCCCCTTTCCTGACTTGCTCGTGTCTCCAGAGCTGAGTGGGCCTCTTCCAGACTGCATAAGCGTGAGCATGGGGGTGATAGCTCCAGGGACCGTGGCCCCCTCCGCTGAGCCAGCCTGGAGAAGCACAAATACGTACAACGATCTTACAGACTCACTGGCTCTTTCCTAGGAATGAACCATATGTAGCCAGAGCACCCGCATCGGAAACTGAAGACCAAAGCATGATGGGGAAGTTCGTGAAAGTCGAAAGACAGGTAGGTCTCTCCTTCCCCTCACCAAAAAAACAAGCCATAGAACATTTGCATTCAAATGTCATTTTCTTCCCCCTCGGGAGATAACAGAGTGGAGTCTCTACCCCTCAGAAAAAGGATGTGGAAATTACATCCCGAGTTAGCAGGTACTTGCGACCACATGCAGTTTCATTCATTGTCCTGAGCCTCAGTGTCCTCATCTGTAAGATGGGGATTCTAATGCCGCATAAGGTGCCTATGAGGACTGAATGAGTTGGCACCCGTGAATCGTGTGGGATAGTTGCTGGCTCACAGCAGACACTTGATAGACATAGCTGCTCTTCGCGCGCGCCTCGAGGTGCTGCTCCCTGAAGAAATGTTAGTGTCCTTCACCACATTTTCTGTGTCCCTAGCCCTCCATGCCTCAGAGTCCAGGTCAGTGGGTGGCCCGCACGAAGGGGCCTGGAGCAGGGCAGGCTCTGGGTGGCTTCGGTCAGGGCGGAAAGAGAAGCCGTTCCCACCCAGCACCCCATGGAGCTCACGTGTCACTTCCTCCGTTGAAGGGGCTTCCGTGACAGCAGAGCCCATTCCGCTGCGCACCGGACGGCTGGCTCTGTCACTTTCCACGAGGATCCCTACCAGGCCCCTTATTTTATTCATGACGCCACATTGGGTCGGTGCGAGAGAGGCAAGAGGAAATTTGAAGGATTACTCTTTCGTGGCATATCAAGAATATCCTTTTTCATTTTAAAATTTTAATTTGTAATCTCAGCCCCTCCACTTCCCAGCTCTGTGACCTCTGACAAACCATTTTCTCTCTCTGCCTTGGTTTCTTCACCTCTAAAAGAGAGATAATCATAGTCTTCACCTCCCAGGGCTAGTGGGAAATTAAATGAGTCAACATCTTTAAGGGGCATCAAGCAGAGCCAGGGACTTACTAAGTGCTCTAAGTATTAGTTACTGTCAAGGCTTGAATACTGTCCCAACCTCTACGTGGTACTGTGCTACCTGGCCTGACCTAGAAGAGGAGGTGCTCTCCCTGCCTGCAGTGCCTTCTGGGGAGTTGTGAATTGTCGTGGAGGGAACACCACACACGCACGCATGCACACACACACGCACACGCACTTGTGTGATTGCACTCGCAAAGATTAAGTCAGTTCCCAGGTTTTGCAGGTTGGAGCAGATACCGCTTACCCAAGTGCAGCTCCCACTCCAGGGCCCCTAGCTAGGACCTCCAGTTCTACGAGGCACAGTTCCTGCTCCCCACTGCCCTTGTGTCGAGGAGGCTTACACAGCCCGTGGGAGGGACAGACACTAACCACCCGCAGGCTTCTGTGTAAGCGAATAGTTGCAAATTAAGAACTCTCACTCTTTGACCCAAATGGCAGCAGCAAAGCCACCTCCTCCTGGGGTACCACTTGTCTTCAGACCCCTTCTTGGGTCCCAGCTTCCGCTTCCCGGAAAGCCCTTGCCAGGGGCTTTCGATTAGCACGAATCCCTGTGCGGGGCTCCAAGTTAAGAAGCATGAAATAATCCGTTGTTGTTAAGATGATGGTTTGCAGGAACCCTCCTGCTTTCCCGTGGTATTTCCTCCGGAATGGAAAGAGCCACCCCCACCCTGGAAAAGCAGTGACGCCCACTTCCTTGTATCTCCCCAGGTTCACGACATGGGGAAGAAACTGGACTTCCTGGTGGATATGCACCTGCAGCACATGGAAAGGCTGCAGGTGCACGTCACGGAATACTACCCGACCAAGGGGACCTCCTCGCCCGCAGAGGTGGAGAAGCTAGAGGACAACAGAGATTCGGATCTAAAAACCATCATCTGCAACTATTCCGAGGCGGGTCCCCCCGAGGCCCCTTACAGCTTCCACCAGCTGCCCCTCGACAAAGTCGGCCCCTATGGGTTTTTTGCCCATGACCCGGTGAACCCGCCCCGAGGAGGACCCAGTTCTGGAAAGGTTCAAGCGACGCTTTCCACCTCAGCAGCGACATATGCAGAAAGGCCCACCGTCCTGCCGATCTTGACTCTTCTCGACTCTCGAGTGAGCTACCATTCCCAGGCTGAACTGCACGGCCCCTGCTCGGACCGGGTCTCCCCCCGGCAGAGACGGAGCGTCACGCGGGACAGTGACACGCCTCTGTCCCTGATGTCGGTCAATCATGAGGAGCTGGAGCGGTCTCCAAGTGGCTTCAGCATCTCCCAAGACAGAGACGATTACGTGTTTGGCCCGAGTGGGGGGTCGAGCTGGATGAGGGAGAAACGTTACCTCGCCGAGGGTGAGACAGACACAGATACGGACCCCTTCACCCCCAGTGGCTCCATGCCTCTTTCATCCACAGGGGACGGGATTTCTGATTCAATATGGACCCCTCCCAACAAGCCCATTTAGAAGGGGTCGTGGGCTGAGGCCTCCTTGTAATGTAGACAGACTGTGTATAGCTCACTTGCTCTCACACCCGACACTTGACCGTGAGATCACCAGTGGCTGCATCAAACACATGCATGTGTGTGGCGGCCCCCCACCTGGGCAGGGGCTTTTCACGGCCTTCCTCCTCCCCAGGTCACCGCAGTGAAGCCGCTTCCTTTTAAGCATGGTTTGCATGACTTTACAATATATAAATGGTACCGCTAATCTCTTCTAGGATACACATTTATCTGCTGTTCTTACTTTAAATCATGATTGGACCAGGATGGGGAGAAATTATTGACGAGCTGTGCTATCTGTCCATTTGGTTGGCTGCTTTGGGTTTTGGTTTGGTAAGCAGGGAATGTAGTTTAAGTTCTTTCTCGAACCACCGCCCTTTTGTGTAAAACAGACCAGTAATTATTCTAGAGTAGGCAAATAGTTTGTGAACAAAAATGCATTACGTATCAAAGAGGGGGCCAACTGAGCTAAAACACTAGGAAAGGAACAAGACGGTCATCACCTATCCAAAAGCACGAATTTTTTTGAAATTTTTTTTCGGGAAAAACTCTCCAAACCATCTAAAAGCTCTCGAGGGGAACTCACGTGGTCTGCCATTATCTGTACCCTGCCTGTTCCCTCATCCCTGGTAATCCCAAGTGTAGCATTTCGAGGGAGTTAGGACTTGGCGGGGAGAAAATACACACAGAAGTTCAAATAGTTTCCAATTTATGTAGCCAAAGATAATGAAACTTATCAGAAGTAGGGTGCCCCTCTGGGCAGGAGCTAAGATCAGTGCCTTCAAAATGAGGTTTCAACTCACGTTCTTCCCCCTGGTACCTGTACAAAATACCCATCTCAAATGAAAATTAGAAACCAGAAATTATCTGGTCCAAGTTCTCCTTTGTAAAAATGAAAAACCTTTGGCTCAGGTAGAGACAAGCCCGGGATCACATCATCGTCCCCTGGAGAGCTGGGACCCAGTCAGCTGACTCGCTCCATGCCCTGGTCTCCTCCTACTACACCACTCTGCCCTTTATACGGTGGGACCCAAAAATTGTGCCAAGATACCTGGACTCTGTTGTACACAATTTATCCAGCAGGACGGGGCTGTTTGCTTTTACTGCAAAACATGCTTGCTTGATGCATTGCATTTTGGATCTAAGGGAATAAAACAAGCACTTCAAGCAAGCAAGCTTCAACATTTATTAATATGCAAATGGGAAAAATTTTCAGAACCGTCCAGTTTTACTCCTCCAGATTTTTTAAACCACACGTAGCCATAAGATTAACCCAAATGTAAGCAGACCCTCTGGAGAGCACTGCCCTAGTGAATTAAGTATTAATATTAAGCACAAGCCATCCTCTTTTGAGGTGTCACTACTTCGGAAACACTTCGATGGAAAAGGTTTCTGTTAGGCTTGGGCCAGATCAGCTAAATTACAACACCACACTGTCACTGTCTCGCTCTGATCCCACCTCTAAGCACTGGTTGTGGATGGTCGCCATGGTGACCATCAGGATGATCCAAAGGGCCTAACAGTCTACACGCAAATGCCGCTGATGTTCTCCTCACAGTCTTGTCAAGCTATGGTAGCTGTGGCAGCAGACATCTGGTTTGTGGTTTCATCATGACGTGATGCAGGAACCTTATACTTTGTTGGAGGGAGGAACTAGTCTCTCAGATCTTGGTTCCTTTCAACCCACAAGTCAACAGGTACTGTGCAGAAGGCTCGGAGTATAATAGTATTGAGGGTGTGGTCCCTGACTAGAAATGCACAACCAAAGCCTGCCGTCTCTGGCCCAGGGCAAGCATCGTGAGAGGTAGATGGCATTTTACATGGAGAATCTCACAAATAGAGAGGTGTTGGCATTGAAGTCTAAGGTGGGAAATACACAAGAATGACCACACAATTCAGACCTGAACCCTCCTCCCCTGTGGTTTGCCATTTGACCTTCTAGCAATCTGAAGGGCAAAAGGAATGGATCATATGCATGAAAGTGCCATTGGAGTTAATGACCTAAGAAATCCTATGCCCCTTCCTTAGGGCTTGGTTCTTGCTTCTGACCCTCCTAGAATCTTTTACTACAAGTGATTGAGCTACCTATCATCTAATATGTTACTGTGTTTTCTTTATGTACGTGAGTTATTTGAGACAAAAAAAAAATGGAGAATGAATCAAACTCTCCACATATGCACCAATTGTTTCTAGCTACCTTATTAATATTCTTGCAGAACTGACTGGCCTCAGTATCTTACCAACAGATGCATTTGCCAGGAACTCAGTGGAGTTCTCAGTGGACAAGTGAGGCTTCCTCATCCTCAAGCTAAAAATAGTCACCACAGATCGAAAGTTAGAGGACTGCCTTAGGTTCTTTGAAAAACCTACAAAGGATAAGAGCTTGTATTATTTCTTAAACCATAGGAGGGCAGTCTAGCCTCCCCTGCTGGATCATAAGGCCAGGATGACAGGGATTGACCGGGTTTATGTCGATTACCATCATGTCTCCATCATGTAGTAAGCTGCCATTATCAGCGCAGACAAAGACAAACTACATGATCATGAATAACTAAATGATAAGACTTTTTAAGAGCTGTTCTTTCCCATCTAAGAAAAAAGAGAAAAATGACCCTCTGGAATATTCTGCTTTGATATCCCTTTAAAAGGAGAGAGAGAGAGAAAAAAAAAAGGCCATTCCAGAAAAGCAAGCCAAAACTCTTCAAGTTGCCTGCTCACAGACAACATCATCACCTGGCTGGCATTGATGAAGCAGGAATTCAAGGTGTAGGATTGAACTTCAGTTATGGGGAGAAACAACGTGTGCCTCCACAAAGACCTTTCTATCCGACAAAAGAACAGCATGATGGAAGAATCCAACAGAACTGGTTAATAATGTGACCCAAGATCATCCTACTTCAGATATATCGGTGGTCCTGAAGCTGGCTGAGGAAACTACAGTAGTTTTAGCAGAATCCCATGAAATTTGTGACAAATTAATTCCATTGTAAAAACTAGGAATGATTTCCTCAAGTGGAAGTGTAATCCCCTTATAGGTGTTCTGTCTGTGTGTGTCACAATATGATATAGGAGAACTTTAAGGGGTCATTTTTTAGGAGGATCAAAATGAATGAGAGATAAAGCTGTCTTCCAAACGTTAGGTGAGAGGTGATCCTGTCGGGCTGAGAAGAAAGTACTTGAAATCAAGTGTGCGTTTTGACAGTAGTAAAACACTAGCACACAAGCAAACATGAAAAGTTTAAGAAAAAGAATTGTGGGAGGAAAAGAAAAAAAAAACATCAAATTGAGAAAGTTCTATTCACTGCCTATACTTTTTCTGGGAACTGAAAGCTTGGACTTAGTAGATATAACAATGATATGATGAAGCTCTAATTTCAATAAAGGCATCTAGAAAACCCCCAAGATATACTATAGTTCAAGATGAGTTCATTTGTCAGTAATGACTGCATTATGCCTTGCCTGTTTTGTGCAGGGCAGTTCCTAGACACTGTAAGTTGAAAGAATAATTACTTGTAGGAAATCCTAATACAATAGGATCTACTCAGAATTTATAAGACTGTTCTTCTAAATCCATACCACTCTACTGAGAATGTAGAGTGTATTTGTTTATTTGTTTACAAGATTTACTAAGCACCACTGTCTGCTAGGCACTGTGTAACATACTGGAAATTCAGAGTTAGGAAAACCACAGTTCCTGCCACCAAAAAGCTAGGAATCTGGCCGCCTCAAATACTGGAGGTCCCTTCAAACTATGTCTCCCAGGAATGGAAAGTATCTGATTTTATCCCTGAAGACAACTACACAGATAGGAGCTCTTCCTCGCTTAGAATCAATGGGAGATTGAGCATGGAGAAAAGTGAGAGAAAGAATTCTCCATCAAAATGGTAATGACCCCATCAGCTCAGGAAAGACTGAGTTGTTGAATGAGGACTTTGAGTTTGGGTTCAGTGCTTTGGGCTTTGGAGCTCCAAATACACTGTGTACAAAGGAGTTTCTAGAGTGTCTGAGAAGGTTCTTGGGAAGAAATCTAGCTTTCTCCTCCTCTCCAAATCCCTACAATGATTGAGTCCAGACAAGAAGCTGGGCTACTTCCATTTCATTGTGTTGACCAAGAGAGGTTTATGGTACAAGCCAAGACACATCTATTTCAAGAGAAGGGTGTCACTCTGCCTGTGGGACACTGCTAATAAAATTCTCCTGGAGCAAGAGAAGAAATGTGTTCGGTGGTCTAAGAAGTTGACTGCACTTTGGACAGTAGTGACAAGCACACCCCTGGCTTCCCCCAGAAGATGCCACACAGCTGGCCTTTGTTTTCTGTGAGTATGCTCCCAAGGCACTTAGGACCGTACGGATTTTCTTTGCTTTCTGAACCTCAGGCATTCTTAGGAATTTGCCTCATGTCCTCACTCATCCTTGAAGGCTTGCTTATTTGGGGATGAAATTTTTAAAAGACTAGAAGTCCTTTCTTTGTATCCAAATCACCCAACATTCCGTTGTTACTGATATTACGCTACTCAAAACTGAGCCAGCAGTCCCCTCAACAAGTCCCCTGACCTGATGCCCAGGTGAGAACCATGCTTGGGACCAGGCTATCTCCATTGCTTTAGTGCTTTGGGAAACCAGCAGTAGGAATCTCAGAGATAGGAAGGATATAGATATGACCTGGATGAAAATTTGAGTTCCAGAATACTCACAAGTGTTTGACTTTCTTGGTCTGTTTTGATTTTCAAATGGGACAATTGGTATATGTAAAGACCCCAGTACAGTGGTGGCTGGAGACTGTCACACATATTCTTTTTTAATACTGTGTGTGGAGTCCACTCCCTCAGTCCTCGGTATTACTTATGAACTCCAAATTTACCCCCAGAAAATCTTTTTCTTGGAAAAAGAGCAGTGGAAATGCCATACCAATTCAGGCACTTTTATGGGGGCTTTTTCTCAGAAAGTACATCTCTATAAGTGAAACAAGGAAGGGCAGGAATGTTGGAATGAAGGTGGCAGGACTGTTGGGTGGCAGTGGCTGGGTTGTGGCAGTTCCACTGGACCCACAATACTGCATGTTGCACCATTCTCTCAAAGGATGATCTGTAGGAGGCAAAGTCAAGTAGCAGGAACCATTAAATATGAAGGAACTAGTGGTTGCAATGAGCAAAGTTAACCATGCCATGATGTCTGTCAGGCAACACCCTAGCAATGAATGGAGAACTTCCAGAAGAAAGAGTTCAAGCTCGCTCAAACTCTCCCCAGGGGAATTTGTTCCCAGCCTCTAACAACCTCAGCTTTGTTATCCCTGTAGGAAAATTGTGACTAGTGGCTTGCTTCATTGCCACAGATGCAGGGAGATACAATTTTATAGATTCCTAGATGCTCAGAGCAA